ATTCTTAAAAAAAAAAAAAAAAAGGATTATGACATGACCATGCCCCATTGAAGGGTATTTTCTTCCTCTCCCTCTCTCTCTGACAAGCATATGCATGCTCTCTGGCAAAAAAGAAGAAAAGAAAAGAGAAAAAGCTCTTTCGTTTTTGTTTTTGCTATAGGGAGCATGTGCTCTACAGAGGCTGAGTGGAATAAGAAACCATCCCCTGGCAGGGATGGCTGTACTGTAATCCCTTCTTCAGTCTCCTCTCAGGATTTTGGACATGGATGCCTGGCATGGTTTTCAAGATGCCAGGTCCAGGACTTGAACCACAAAGTCAGCCATGTGGGATCCAGAGCCTTAACTTCCATGCCACTTGCTGGACCTAAAACAGAAACAGCTCTTAAATTGGGTTCCAGGGGGCCAGCAGGTGGTGCGATGGTTAAGGGCTCTGGACCCCCCACATGACCAACCACGGTTCAAAGAGGACCTGGAGGCTTACTTTCTCACCTTCCCTCTCTCTCACTCGGTCTTTCTCTGGTCAAATGAAAATAAAGTTAAATAAAATAATTCTTAAAAAAAAAAGGGGAGGTTCCAAACACATTTGTTTTTCTTTTTTTATTTTAAAGAATTACTTACTTAATTCCCCCCGTTTGACCAGAGATTGACAGACAGAGATAGAGAGAGGGAGAAACCAAGCCACCAGGTCTGGACTCCCACACAGGAGTCCAGCTTGCCACCTTAACCACCATACCATCTGCTGGTCCCACATATTTGCTTTTCAAAAGAATATACCTTCTCATCTGGTTCCAGCCTCAGCCCACAGGGTTCCTGAGTATGGCTATGGTTATCTGTATAATACTGTGTGTCGTGAGCCTGGGTCACCCTTGGGCTGATAAGGGTGAGCCAGTTTGGGATGCCAGCAGGGAACCAGGTTCTCAACAGGCCTGGGGGCCATGACCCTAGAGCTGGTTTATTATTATTATTATTATTATTATGAGAGATTTTTTTCTAGGGCCAGCAGGTAGCATGGTGGTTGAGATGCTGGACTCCCATATGGCACAGAGTGATTCAAGTCCTAGACCCAGTGGCTTGCTTTCTCACTTTTCCTTTCTTTCTCTGTCTCTCTCTGGTCAAATTAAAAGACAGTAATAATAACAGCACTAAATAAATAATTCTAAAAAGTAGAAGAGAATATTTCTATAGGGCATGTGTGCTTGGTGAAGAGACAGAAAGCAAGAAATCACACCCTGGAGGCTGACCACACCACACTCCCTTTTTTATTCTCCCCTCAGGATTTTGGGTACACGTGTATGTGTACCCAAAACCATGGTCAACCATGTCGGAGTCCAGTGACATAACCACTATGCCATCTGCTGGTTGGTTTTCTTTCTTCCTTTTTTTTTTTAAGAGAGAGGTTTTTGCTATAGGGCACATACACTCGCCAGAGAGATAGAAGCAGAGAAGAGAAACAGAAAACAAGAATCCCCCCAACCACCACCACAGGGTGGATAGCCCCACTGCCATCTCTTCTCCATTCTCCTTCTGGGATCTTGGGCACGTATGCATACATGCCCGTTGTGAGTTTTAAACCTCCAGGCCTGGAACTCAAACCATGGTCAACTCCTTGGGAGTCCAGTGGCGTAACCATCTGCTGGTCCTAAGCTGGTTCTTAATTAGACTGGTCAGGGGGCTTGGCAGGCATAGAGGAGTCTTGTGTCCTTTGAAGCATGGGGTAAGATGATGTGGGCCTTGTGGCACCCAGCTCTGCACCCATTGGGGTACTCCCTGTGTTCCCACACTGGAGCTGACAAGAGATAACAAAGGGAGTGTGGAGGCCAGAAGCAAAGGACTCTAAGAGATATGGTTCATTCCCCTTTCTGAGGGGTGGCCAGAAGATATGGTATTACCTTGTAAACGTCACCGTAAGAAAACCTAAGGTGCAACACCATTGGGGTCTGAGCCATGACCTCTTTATCTCATGAAGCTTGGCGAATTCTCCAAGGCCAGTGGTGGCAGCAGGGCACCAGTTACTTGAGCGTTTCTTTGTAGCCAAAGTCTCGGGAATTTCTTCTGATGCCCTGATTATTTTTTACCTTTCTTCACATAAAGTGTTCCGAAACCCGTTTCTTCTATTTAAAACCAACAAGGAAAAGGGAAGAAGTGCTGGGCAGGGCGCAGAGGCTGAGAAGGCCCAGCAGGGCTCATGGTGTTCTCTTTGTTTCCAGTACCTGGCTGAGCACGTGGATGCTGCTCAGCTGGCCTCCGGCTTTGAGGAAACCATCAACAAGTTTGACAAGAATTTTTCAGCCCACCTGCTTGACCTTCTAGCCCGACTGAGCATCTATAGCACCAGCGACTGTGAGCATGGCATGGCCAGTGTCATCTCCAGGTGGGTGTGTCACCACTTTCTGTGTGGACCTAGGGATCCTCCGTGGCTCCACTCTCCCCCAGAGGAACCCCAATCCCATGTTCCTTCCTCCACAGGCTTGACTTTAATGGCTTCTATACGGAGCGCCTGGAGCGTCTGTCTGCAGAAAGGAGCCAGAAGGCAGCCCCCCAAGTGCTCATCCCTCGGGGGCCCCTGGCACCAGCACCTAGGGTGGCAGTCTCTGCACAGTGAGCTCCTGGCCACGGCTGGAAAGAAGGGTGTTGGGAGCCGGCAGGCGCTACAGCAGAAGTTCAGAGATTTTAAATCAGATATTCCTGAGATATGTGTGTCGTGTGTGTTGTATTGTTTAAAAATAAAGTGTGAATTATCCTCAGCTCATTTCATTTCTCAAGGTGCCGGGGTTTCATTTTGTTCAACTACCCAGACTGCCCAGATTTGCTTATCTGCTTTACTCTGTTTGTAATTGCAGGAGGATGTGTGCTCACCAGAGAGACAGAGAAAGAACCAGTGAGAACCAGCGGGGTACAGACACTACAATTCTCCATTTTTCCATCCTCTCAAGATTTTGAACACTTTTGTGCATGTGTTTGGCTTGTTTCTCAAATCAGTGGGGCTGAGATTTTTTTTTTTTCTTTTTTGGAGAGGTTTTTGCTGTAGGGCATGTGTGCTCACCAGAAAGTCGGAGAGAGACAGGAAGCGAGAAATCACCCCCCAGGGGGATAGCCACGCCACAATCCCTTCTCCATTCTCCTCTCAGGATCTTGGGCATGCATGCACACGTGCCCAGCATGAATTTAGCCACCAGGCCCAGGACTTAAATTGTGGTCAACCACGTGGGAGTCCAGTGACATAGGCATTATGCTAACTGCCGGTCCCAATGGGATTGGGATTTGAACTGTGGTCAGCCATGCAAGATCCAGCTCCCTTAACCACTAGGCGATGGGACCGTCCTTCTGCTTTTTAGAAAGTAAACTGTCAGGACCAGCAGATGGCATAATGGTTACTTGCTTGACTCCCACATAGTAGATGATGGCATTTCGAGTCCCAGACCTGGCAACTTAAAACACTGGGTGCATGTCCAGAGAGAAGAATAAAGGAGAGGGACTGTGGTGTGGCCATCCCCTCTGGGGAGTGATTTCTCGCTTTCTGCCTCTGTCTCTCTCTCTGGCAAGCACACGCATCCTGTAGCAAAAATCTCTCTTAAAAAAATAAAGTGAACTGTCAAGCCAGCAGGTGGCGTATGGTCAAGAACCTGGACTCCCACATGGCAAACTGTTCAAGTCCCAGACCTGGTAGCTTGCTTTCTCACTTCCTCCCTTTCTCCTTCTCTTGCTGTTTCCTGGGTGAGCACAAGTACCCTAGAGTAAATTAAAAATAATATTAGGTTGTTGGAAAAGTGATAATGTATTTTTCTGTTTTTCTATGAAAAACATGTGTCATGGCTGTCCTGACAACCCAATAAATAAACTTAAAAAAAATTTGAGGGACCAGCAGTTGGCATAATGGCTATGTCACTGGACTCCCATGTAGTCGACCATGGTTCGAGTCCCGGATCCAGAGGCTTAAACTCATGCCAGGCGCGTGTGTGTGTGTGTGCCCAAGATCCCGAGAGGAGAATGAAGGAGAAGGGATTGCGTTGTGGCCATCCCCCCTAGGGGGTGATTTCTTGCTTTCTGTCTGTCTTTCTGGCAAGTGCATGCACTCTATAGCAAAAACCTCTCCAAAAAAAAAAAGAAAAGAAAAAAATTGAACTATCTGGCAGGTCGCATGGTGGTTAAGGGTGCTGGACTTCCACATGGTTGACTGCGGTTTGAGTCCCGGACCTGATGGCTCGCTTTCTCACTTTCCTTCTCTCTCTCTCGATCTCTCTCACTCTGTTGCTCTCTGGTCAAATTTAAATAAGTGAAGCTAAATAAAACAATTCTAAAAAAATAAAATAAAAAGCAAAAAAGATATAATTGAACTATCACTTATTTGAGTGTTTTTGGTTTTAAAGACAAAACACATGACATCTGAGCAAGAAGCTAAATAATTATAAAGATGCTCTGCGGAGGGTGACATCAGGCCTGGTATCCACATTCTGTCTAGGGTAACTCGGAACTGGGCTGGGCTCCCGAAACCCATCAGGTCTCTGAGGTTTGCTTTGGGCGCTAGGGGGCAGCACAGACCCTAGTTTTGATTACTCCAGCTTCGAGGCATCTGGCTGCTTGGACAAGGACCGGAGATGATTGACCTGACACCCTAGGTGAGCCTCATGCCCAACTCTTGGCCCACACCTCTTCTTGGAGATGCACCTAAGAGTGGCCTTAGGGCAGGCTTTACTGTGACCTGGAATCCCCAACCCCCACTGGGGCTGGGTTTACCCACTCATTCTCTGTTAGGCACTTGTCTTACCATACTGAAAATTACTCAGCAGACAGCCTGAGGGTTTGTGCTCTCCCACCCAGTCCTTTCAGGCAGTCATCTGCCTTCTCGGTTCCTGTTTTCCCCAATTTGGCAGTGGATGTTACATCCAGGCCTGGATGACACTCCTGTGGACACCTCGGGGCTGCCCTGACCAGGAGGCTCTGCTCTGCTTACATCCCTGGCCATGCTCCCTCTTCCTGCTGTGTCGTTTTCAAGATTCAGTTCTGAATACCTGCCTTAGGTGCACGCTTCAGTCCTGGACCCAGCAACTTGAGAAACATGCTGGTTCATGCTTTCCCAAAATCCTGAAAGGGAGAAATGAAGAGGTTACAGTGTGACCATGCCCTATGGGGGAACTTTCTTTCGCTCTCTCTCTTCCTCTCTCTGGTGAGTGCATGTGTACTGTGATACATTTTTTTTTTAATGATTTTTCCTTCCTCCCTTCATTTCTTTAATTTGCCAGAGGGTGCATGCATCATCTGGGGGAGAGAAAATGAGAAAGCACCCCTCATGGGGAATTGCTTCTCTGCAATACTACCTCCTCCCCTTCCTCCTGGGAAACAAGTGGGCGCACACACAGCACCCTGTGTGATTTTCAAGCCTCTGGGTTGGGGATTCCTATGCAGTTGGCCATATGGGATCCAGCCGCCTTCACCACCTCACCATAAGCTGGCCCATTTTTCTTTCTTTATTCATGATAAGAGTGTATGCACACATACTTGAATGGAGAGAAGAGCACCCTCCACAGGGTCTGGGCACAAGTCTTTCCAGGCCTCCAGTGCATCAGATCTTGGGTACTCACACATATGCCTGGTGTGTATCAGGCCAAGCAGACCTGGGATTCAAGCCACAGTTGCCACATGGGATCCAGCTCCTCTTGAGGTATCCATTGCCCTCCCACTGTTCTGGGGCCTCCCTTCCAGGCAGAGCTCTCTCCTCTTTGTCCCCAGCTGAGCTCACACCCTGGCTCTTGATCAGGTTAATTAGTGTTCTTAGTGAGTACTGATTCCTGTCACCAGACAAATCAACTGCTGAAGCCCTGGTGAGGTGTCTGGGCTGCTCCCCTCCCCTCCTAGGTTGTCCCTGGCGGTGAGTCTGTTTGGAGAAGCAGTAAGGTCAGCCTACACCAGCATCCATGAGACTGGGCCCAAGGCAGAGAAAGTGGCTAAGGAGGACATAGACATGGCGGCAGCACCTGGAGTCCTGGGTTCCCCAGGGACCCACCGGGAGAAGCCAAGTCCAGGCCACAGCAGGGTGCAACAGGCTCCAGCTCCAGAGCATCCCCGCCCTGCCTGGTGTCAGAGGAGGGAAGACACACCAGGGGGAGCTTTCGGCCAGTGGGGCTGCATCCAATTCCTGTTTGCAGAGCTGTGCTTGTCAGGACCCCCAAAACAGGGAGGGAGTGTCTGGAAAGGAGTAGCCTGGGCAGCTTCCACACCTGCCATTACCTGGGACCCCCACACACACACACCTGTCTGGCTCACTCTTCCCATCTGGCCCATGTTGACCCAGGACTTGCCTCTCCCCAGTGAGGCCTTGGGCGCTTGGTAGAGCGGGACACGGTTTGGTGGAAGGTTGTCTCCCACAGGGCTGGCCTTGTGCCCAAAAGGCCATGTCTGGGCTTTGGAAATTTTTGTTCCCCAGGAAGTCAGAGGGCCCCTACTTCTGGAATCTCCAGGCAGCATTTCAGGCCAGCATCTGCCTGGCCTGTTACCTTCTTCCAGCTTGACCTGGACTTTCTCTCACTAGCGTCCACCTGTGGCTCTCTGGAGTTCTAGGGGGACTCAGACTAGGCGAGCCTCGGTTTCCCCATCTGTACAGGAGAGGATGCAGGTCCTAGGGAGTGGCCCAGGTCTGTGCCTCTGCCCCACCCCTCCCCAGTCCACCCCGCCCAATTTCCGTTCAATTAGACCGTATTTCTGAAGTTTTTTCCACGTGCTGGGCCTGGGACACTATCCGCGAGTCCACTGGAGACCAGAAGTAGACACAGGAATACCAAGGAGGCAACGGAAAGAAGGGGATGAGGTCCCGCCAAGCGGCGTTTTCGGCTCAGGGAGCAAAGGAGGGGCGGTGCCAGGGCTTAAAGTTCAACCCTCTCGCCCCCAGGGGCTCCGCCCCTCTCGGCGGTCCACCGGGCCCATTGGCCGCGGGGGAAATCCCGGGGGCGGAGCGCACGGGAAGGTACAGCCTGCCCGGAACACCAGGGACCAGTGTCCGGTGTGGAGCCCATGCTGAACTCGTGCTCCGGGTCCCGGCCCCCTAACCATGCGCTGCTTCGGGCTCTGGCTGCTCAGCGCACTGTGGCTGCAGGGTGAGCGGTCCGGGCGGCTTGGCCCAGGGTTGGGTTTCAGGGAGCTACCGTCAGGGACGCGGCGCGGGACAGAGTGGCTCTCCAAGGGGAACGGAACGTCGGGACCCTGGTCATTCTGGCTCCCTGCACCCTCCACCCTTTGGCTGCTTCGGGCTGGTCTAGGGGGACGGGGCACGCAAGGTGGTCACTCAGCAGAGAGGTCAGAGCCAGGGTAGCCAGAGAAAGGGACCCTTAAAAGTGAATTATAAGAGAGAAGTTGGTGTCTGGGGCATTTGTAGGGGATGGGCCAGACCAAACTGGGTAAGGACGGCAGAGCTGCTCCACCAGCGTTGCTAGAGGTGCCCTGGGCCCCCAGGCTTCTGTGAGACCACAGCATGAGATGGAGATTGCCCTCCCCATGGACTCTCCAGAGGAGCAGTGACCATGAGGAGGGTATCTAGCCACATAGGGACCACCTCAGGGAAGACTGAGTGGGCTCTGGCCCTGGAGGTCCCCATTGCCTTGGGACCTCCTGGGCCGGTGTTATGTTGTGCTCAGAGCCCTCTGGGATAGATGGTCTCTGAAACCCGAGACTTGTCCCTGCAGGGCCAGGTTTCTGCCTGTGTTGGATACCAGGGAGTTTCCAGTTTTTGGTCAGGCGAACAGCCTGCAGGAGTCCCTTCTTGTTCCCTAGTTTGATATCATCATATGGTTAGAAGAAATGAAAATGCGCAGACTCTTATGTAAATACGTAAACTCCCTCCAGGGCCTGTGTGCATCCTCCCTTCTGGAGCAGAGAGGTCCAGACCGGCCCTTGGGCCCTGGCAGGAAACCTGTGTGGGAGCAGCTTGGTGGGCTCATGGAAGGGTTGGAGCAGGGCAGGGTCTCTGGGCACTGCATATGAGGGACACTGCCAGGCGTAGCTGTGCCTGGCCCCACACGGTGCTGGTGTCCTGTGGTGTTTGGGGGCAAATAACTTTCTTGGGCTATTTGGCCAGATCTTTGAGTGATTGATCTTGAGTTGTTTGGTGCTTCTCCCAGAGGAAAACCACAACACACCCTGAAGGGGCTGGAACCTGGGGACCCAAGAAGCTTCCCAGGGTAGAAGGCTCTTTGTGCTTCTGACCCCCTTTCTCCCATAGTGATTGCCCACAGCTCCTCCTTACCGCATGTGAAGCAGTACGAGGTGGTGAGGCCCCGGCGCCTGCCAGGACCCCGCACCCGCCGAGCTCTACCCTCCCAAGTGGTAAGTCTCAGCTGTCCATTCACCAGGCTGGCCTGAGACCCCACCCTGGTCAGAGCCTGTCGCTGTGAAAAAGAGATTACTTGTACCTGCCAGGCAATTGGAAGGGGTCGGCTTTTCAGATTGAGGGGCTAGGTATGTGTCTGTGGGGGGGGAGGGGAATGCCCTGCACAGCTGTGGGGGGACTTGAAGCCCAGTCAGCCTGTTTCTGCTTCTGGGGTGTGGCCTGCGGGCCTTTGGTCCTCCTCCCTCCTGTGCTCCTTCTTCCTTCCTCCTGCCTCACTCTGGGCAGGGCGACCACCACCGTACCTTCAGGGGTGCCTTTGGGAGAGCACTGGGTGCTTACTGCACACCTCTCCTTCAGGAACCCTGCAAGTCCAGCCTGGAGGTGCCTTTGGGCCCCAGAAAACTGGGAAGGGGCAGCCCCTGCGGGCGAGGCCACTCCCCAGTTTCACTTGGCAGGGACTGATAAGCCACATTCCTCTTTGAGTAGTGGAGACGGCTCCCTGCAGTATTGCGAGTTAGCTGTGACACACCTTCCTTGGGGCCTGGAAAGGGCCTGGTGGGGTTTCCCCAGGGATGGAACTGAGAATCCCCCACACACATACACACACACACTCAGGAACAGTTCTGAAGCCCTAGTAAGTGGGTGTGCATGCATGTACATTGTGTGCATGCATATGTATCATGCGTGCATGGAATATGTACATGTGTGTTTCCAGACAGGGCAGCCCTGGCCCTGTCCTTATCTTGGTGTCCAGAGAAGCCGTTCCTAGCCTGCAGACCTGTCTGTTGCCCTGGGCTCTTCTCCCACCCAGTGGACATAGCCCTACTATCCAGAGGGGCCAGCAGGCTTGAGCCCAAGCCGATGTACAGTAAGGGTTAAGCCTGGGTGTGCAGACTAAAGTGCGGTCATGGCTCATACAGGAAGTTGCTGGGAAGGCCCATGTACCCCACCTGCCCCCACCTCCTTTGCTGCCTAGCCCCTCCCCCCTGCTTCCTCAAGGAATATTATCCATATGTGGATAAATGGGGAAACTGAGCGATGGGGAAAGAGGGGGACCGAGAAGCCCAATGTCCTTCTAGCCTGTCCAAGGCATGGGCTCTATCCCTCTCCAGTATAGCCCAGCCTGAACCAGCCACCATCTACCCTGCCTGAGGCTGATGGCCAAGCATCCCCAGAGGGGCTTTCAGGCTGTGGAACTCTGCCCAGAGGCTAGAGGCTACCACCCCCTCTTCACCCAGCTGAGCGTCTCCCACAGGGGCAGACTGCTCATCTGGACCCTTCCCTTCTGGCTCAGGGCCTATACCCGGAGAGTGTGAGCTATGTCCTTGAGGCCAAAGGGCATGCCTTCACCTTGCACCTGCGGAAGAACAGGTGAGCAACGGATCTTGGCCCCTCAGGTTGGTCCCACCTGGCTGAACCTGGCATGCGGGCTCCACCCACCACCCTTCTGCCCCCAGCACACAGGTATCCTTGTTGTGTGGCTTCCTGGCCCAACCTCTTCATGGGGAATGTGGTCAGGCCTGAGGGATCAGAGGGCCTGGAATGCTACATGGGTTCTTTTCCAGGGACCTGCTAGGCTCGGGCTACACAGAGACCTACACAGACATCAACGGCTCCGAGGTATCGGAGCAGCTGCAGGGGCAGGTATGGGGCCCTGGAGCAGCCTTCCCTGAGGCTGGTGGGGGGAGCAGGTCTGGACCTGGGAGCAGGTCTGGACCCTCACACACTACTTCTGCAGGACCACTGCTTCTACCAGGGCCACGTGGAGGGGCACCAACACTCCGCAGCCAGCCTCAGCATCTGTTCTGGACTCAGGTGGGTGCCATGGAACACACAGGATATCCGAACGCCACGGTTCTAGCATTCTCCTCACTGTGCAGAGAAGTGAACAGGCAGAGAAGAAAGGGCCTTGAGGCTAGACTTGGAGAAACGCCTCTTTCTTGTGCTTTTGTGCATTTGTGGAATGTGCAAAGGCATTTGTTCAGGGCTTCTGTTTGATTTTACTCATCCTGCCAAGTCCATAGGCAGGGCTTACTCTGGCACACCTGCCTGCACCCACAACCCTGGGTGCCCAGGACTTGAGCCCTAGCATGTCACCTGCCCGGGGGTTGCCAGTCACAGTGCAGAGCACTGCGGCCACTAGGCTGGAGCCTGTTACCCTTCAAGGGCTTCATCCCCTGTCCTCCTCTCGCCTCAGGGGCTTCTTCCAGGTGGACTCAGCCACCCACCTGATTGAGCCCCTGGATGGAGGTGGTGAGGAGGAGCAGCATGCTGTGTACCAGGCCGAGCACATGCAACAGAAGGTCGGGACCTGTGGAGTCAGTGACACCAGCCTGAACAACCTCCTAGGACCTCGGATGGCAGCAGCCTTCAATCCTCAAGACCGGGTGAGCAACTTTTCCCCTGTGCCTGGCCTGTCCTGTCACTGTCCTCTGATGTGGACCTGTGCATCCCCCAGGCTCCCTGTGCACTTGTGTGCTGCAGCCCAGGGTGGGCCCAGGCGTTCCCACACTGTGTGGGCCTGGCTCAGCCTGGCAGCTGGGGTGCTGACTCCTTAGTCTGCACTGGTACTGTCTCAACAATCCCTTCCAGCACCAAGCGGAGGCTTGGCACTGGCTCCAGACCCCAAGGAGGGCCTGGGCGCTAGGACAGGCTGTGGCTGAGAAAGCTGACTGGCTTCTTGTCACCATCCCTAGAACTGGCCACCATCCCGAGAGACCCGCTACGTGGAGGTGTACGTGGTCACAGACAGCACAGAGGTGGGCAGGCACAGAGGAGGGGCTGGGGTCAGAGGGTGTGCGGGGCACCAGCCTGAGGGCTTCATGTCTCGTGTCCCCAGTTCAAGCTCTTGGGGAGTAGAGAAGCTGTGCGCAGACGGGTGCTGGAGGTGGTGAACCACGTGGACAAGGTGGGGACTACATCCACCCTCTGGGGGTCTCCTCAAGGAGCTGCCAGGTTCTTCTCTGTATGGCTTCTAGGGCCCCTGGGCAGCCCTAGGCCAATGAAATCCCTGACTCAAGAAGGATGGGAGGCATCTAAAAAGGAGGGGGATGGTTGGCCACGGTGGGGTGGGAGGCCATAGGCATAGCAGCCAGCCGGGTGAGGCTAACTCAAGTTTTCATGTGCTCTGAACTCAGGACTCTGCCCAGTGCCCAGACCTTGAGCCTATGCCTGCTGGGCCTTCCACTGTCCTGGCCTGACCCATGGCATTCCCTGTCCTCTCCAGCTTTATCAGGAGCTCAATTTCCGCGTGGTCCTGGTGGGTCTGGAGATCTGGAGCAACCACGACAAGTTCCTTGTCAGCCCCTCCGCAGAAGTCACCCTGGAGAACTTCCTGGCCTGGCGGGCCCAGGAGCTGAGGGGGCGGCATCAGCATGACAATGTGCAGCTCATCACGTGAGTGGATGGCTGGCCATACCCACGACAGCCGGGGCAGGGGGCTCTGTGCAGCCA